CCCCGGCCCCCCAGCCGCTGTGGCTGTGCAGCTTCTGGCGCCTCGGGGAGGCACGCAGGGTGGCCCAACGGCAGGACCTGAGCTACGCAGGGAGAGACTCACAACCAAACAGTTCGGGGACCATTCCTTAGGAAACAACAGCACAAGCTCTTACTGTACAGCAGTGCTTCCCAGAGGAGAGTATATTGCTTTGCGACATTTCCCCATTTTGTTTACCCTGAGGATGAAGGAGAATCTCCTCCCTTCACGTATCGCTCCTGCTGCAGGTGGACGTTCTTCCCTCTCACCGTGACCGTTACCAGCGGAAAACCCTTCTGCAGTGTCCACGTGTCCATCATTGCCCTCACATCAAGAGTCTCTCCTTTAGTCCAGTGCTGGTTTTCAGAGAGGGAAAAAGAAGAGGAGGAAGATGGGAGTACACTGACTGTGAAACAGAAATGGGCACATAAGAACCCTAAAAAGCTGCTGCGTATTTGTAAGCTCTACGTAGATATGCTTAGACTGGATATCGTGACATCTCCAGCTGGTTTTCTCATGGACATTTTTGTATAGTTAAGGACATCTCTTTAAGTACTGATGTTTTTTACTCAGCACTGGGCACGGGAGCACGATTTCTGTCCGATCTCACAGAAAACAGATTTCCAATGGAACTGAAGACACTCGTGCTCTCCCTAGATCCATGCTCCAGCGGCAAAGGACGTCTTTGGAAGGTGCACGTATCAATGCCACGGCACGGAACAGTAACCTGAGAGAGCTCAGATACATGTCAAACTCCTAAATACTGACGGGTAGAAAACTAGATGCTTACTGCATTTGAAGATGAGTGTGGGCTTTTTCTACAAAAACCATCACCTTGCAGGTCATTTTTATCACTACCAACTGTAGGGCAAATCTGAAAGGAAAAAAAAAAAGAAGTTTTGGTCATGTGCCTGATGTACTCATAAGCACTGGTCAGAGCCTTCAGTGTATGAAAGACATATCATTCATGAGAAGTTATGAAATCTGAAAAAAATAAGAGGACAAGGAATACTTGCATTTGTCATGCTGTTCCACAAATCTTCATTTTTTGTATTCTGATAGCTGTATTTCTGCAGGTACTGGACAAGTCCAGTTTTAAACACATCAGCAGTCAGGTAGTCCCTCAGCATGTTTAATACACAAGATCCCTGAAAAATAAAAAGAGTAAAAAGCATTTACAAAACTGCTCCTTAGCTGGCAAGATGCTTGTTTCAGAAAAAATTCAGCATACCACTAATCTACATCATAGTTCATTTTTTGTATGCTTCTCTGATTAAAAAATAATCAGGCTTTATGTATACTGAAACAGTACTTTGGTTTTTTGCGATCATTACTCTTAAAAATATCATTGATTAAGTTCTGTTACTGGTTTTTGTAATTGCTACACAAGCCAACACCATATAACACTCCAGTGAAAAATGCTCCTTGGGTTAGGAACCTAAAAAAAGTGGTTCAAGCCTAACTGATACAGAACAGACAGAGAAGTACAAGCTTCCTTGTTTTAAAAACAGGAAAGGCAACTGCCATTTGAATCCAGCCAGGTGTTTTGGAGCAGGAATTATTCAAGTCATAAAGTCATTAACACCGTGTGTCAGGGACACCTTATCAGTGAAATCACTAAAATACAACTGTATAGTGCAAGCAGTACAACTGAAATCAATAGCAGTTATGTGTTTTACCTTCTCATAAGAAACTGTGTCAAACATTTCTAAAATTTGAGCTGGGTCTTCCACAGGAGTAGATATAGGATGTGATGAATTTAACGCATCCACTGCCATGGCACCAAAACATCTCCTTAAGAAAAAGTCTTCCTAATAGGAGGCAAAAACAAATATTAGTACTAAGTATTGCTCAGTGACCACGGACTCCCTATTCTTTCACCTTCCACCCGTTCCACATGATCTTTAAACCATACAAAGAAAACAAACCTTTCTTTTTATTCCACAGCATAACAGAGCCAAATGAGTTCTAGTGTTCTGAACTAACCTGAATAGTCAAGCTAGTGAGACGTAAAAATAACTCCAAAGACACCCACACATTCCAAAAGTTTGATGACAGAGTGGTCAGTAATCATAAGAGATTAAAGAAAAAAAAAAAGGTGAATTTCCCCATTATCACACCACTGTAGAGCTATGGCAAAATTCTGCCCAGATGCATTGCTCATCTCACTCTGGCAGAGAATTTTGCATATCAGACCTCTGCTAAAGCTAGCGGAAGGATTTTAGTGTTTTCAAGTCTGACCCTATTTGACGAAATAAGATAAAATAATTTCTTTATATTTTTGGAAGACTAAATGTCTTTAAAAAAAGAATACACATTCACTGTAATCATTAACTTCCACCATCAGTTCCTGAAGATATTTACATATAGCTAAATCAACATTCCTACCATTCAGAGTTAACATCAGATAATCCTATCAAACAGAAATTTACAAGTGGTTCACAGCACAAATCTGCTTGACCTTTATCCTTATTAATTAGTGGATTTAGAAGGCAGTTATAAAATAAAAACACAGTTTCAGCTGCTTACAACTCTCAGCTCTGGGTGGGTAGCGCTGACTGACACGAACTCCATAAACTTTGCAAACCCTTCATTCAACCACAGATCGTTCCACCACTCCATGGTAACGAGGTTGCCAAACCACTGGGGGGGGGGAAAAAAAGAGCTTCTGAAATTAAATACACAATTTATCACCAAAGCCGCTACTGACCTGACCTCTATGAAACTGCATTTATTGTATGTTATTGACCTCTAAGGAACCTTTTTTTAGTGATACAGCTTGCTCTGGCCTCTTCCCATTGCATTCTCATTTTAATGGTAACACACTAAAAACACCGGCTTCCACTCACGTTCCAAGAAATCCCATAAAGAAATGACATTTGGCAGGAGAGACACATATGAAACAGTTAACCTTTCCAAACTTCTATGTTCCTATTTTGGTGGCTTGCAATTAATTTCAAGGGCCAGCAACAGCGCCATGGCCCCACCGCATTTGAGCTGCCGAACTGAGGACATTTCTGTTGGCAGCCCTCCGTGTCCATGCAGCCTGCCGGGACTTCCTGGCCAGGAAGGTCCTCGTGACTCACAGGTGAGCACCCCCACGCTGAAGCAGCTATTTTCAGCTGGGAGCTCCAAGATTCCCCTACCCACACAGGGTCCATCGATCCCAACCCCTCTGCAGGGCTGTTTGAACTCCTGGTTCTTCCCCAGATCTCACCTGATGAGCTAGCTCATGGGCTATTGTCATAGTAATCCCAAGTTTAGATGATGCCGAGGACTTTTCAGGGTCATACAACAACACAGATTCCCGGTATGTAGTCAGTCCCCAGTTTTCCATAGCACCAGACTGAAAATCAGGAATAGCTGCTAAATCTAGAAAAAACATGAAAATAGTACTAGCATCATTTTACTCGATAAAGAACTCGCTCACCCGCCCATCCCACTTCACAACTGTTCCCACGCGGGCACACGTATCACACGAGCTTCTAAGGGCTCTCTTAGCTGTAATCACAAAAACATACTTTAAAAAAAAAACCTCTATTCAGAAGACAAGAATCCGCAGTTCACAGTGGAGTTTTTAAATCTGTCCCTAAGTTCTGCGAGGCACCCACTTTAAAAGCCTGTGAGCCAAACCTGGGCCCGTCTTAATACACTACTGATTTTGTGATACTTTATTCTCTGTGCTTAATGATGTTCTGAAATACATTAAATTATTTGACCCTTACCTTGCTTAGGTAAAGGATACGGAATGCTGAAGTAATCCTCATAGAAGTCTAAAAGTTTCACTGCCGCATCCAGCGCGTAATCAGCTTGGTTGATCTTGTCTGGCACCGTGTACACAGAAATCTACAGCAGAGCAGGCAGCACTCCAGTGTCAGCATCAGAAGCTTGCAGAGGTTGTTCTTTACCACACTTACTTGAATGACCGTGAAAAGGGATACTACAGCACACACCTAACACTTCTCATACAGGAGTTATTAAAACATTTGCGGAAAGATACTATCAGATTTAGGAATACAAGTTTTGAAACGGACCCACCAGAATCACTATGCCCCTACGAAGACTTCTGCTATTTCCACCCTTACCACGTGAGAGTCATTCAACTGACATGGGTTTATTTTAGTGCTGATTCTCCATGAAAACTCCATTTATATATAACCTTACATGAAACAAACTATGTTACTAATGCTTATAATTACACAAAAAGTAAGCCCATGACCAAAAACTTTTGAAACTAATAAAGCTCAGCGCGCAAAGTAATCCAATTACAAAACCAAATTCTTCCTCTACTTTTGTTCCTGTAAAATGTTGAGATATATAAATCTGGCAATTTAAATGAAAAGTGAACCATCGTGTATTCACACAGACTTAAATACAAAAAGGCTCCTAGAAAATGAGACGGTTACCTTAACTCCATGAGTGGTTACTTTGCTGATGGATTTAAAATCCGAAACAATAAAGGCCACGAGGTACGTACTCATCTTGACAGTGGTATCAAAATGGTCCTCAACAAGCCAGGGAGTTATATTCACAGACTTCACCTAAAAAATGAGCACATCACCCAGTAGCACCACCTGTGAGGACCTTGGCACCAACGATTGTTGTGGTTCTGCTCAGCTTAAAGGTACGGCCTTCTAAAGGTGCTACCTTACATTTCAAAGATACGCTGGAAAAAGGCCACCCCTGTGCCCAGCCTTCCCCACGCAGAGAACGAAGCCATGTGTATGTGTACATACAGGCAGTTTCATTCGTAAGCACCACTTCTACATTGGTAAAACTAGAAAAAGGACAATACTGTTCACTACTTCGGTTGTCCTCAGTGCCTGCTAGCACGCTGATCGAGGCAATCTCACACAACTTCAGCTGATGGGAGGCTATGTAAATCTCACCAGCTGCTGTTGGACCTGCGAGAAATGAACTCCTCCAAATCATGAGGCAGTTACCAAAGATACCTACTTTAGCATAAAACGAGCCGCGTGTTGGAGGTATCCATTCTCCCCTCTTGGTTACAGGGAGCCTTAGCTAGCTAACTCAGCCCTGGAACATGCTTAGCCACGCTGAACTGTAACACCGGCACCCTCTCCTTATTCATTATTTTACCAATTTCTCTACAAAAGACTTGGGTTTTTATACCCATTTTCAAAATGTTTCATTTTTGCAAGGTACCTGGGAGGAGGCATGGGCGGGTGCTGTCCCCTCGGTTGTAAGGGTTAGTTCCCTCGCAAACCAGCAACTAATAGTGCGGAAGAAATTATGGAGAACCTCTTACCCCCAAGGTAAGATCAGATGTAGAAAACATAGTTAACCCTACATACGCATACGTATTTATAATGGCAAACAATATTTGTAGCTATTACATGTACAGCACTTTGAAAAGTTTTTTTGAAGTCCGAAGGTTTGGGGGTTGGGTTTTGGTTTTTTTGGGGTTTTTTTCCGCAGAGAAGGTGCTGCTTATCTGACAATTAAGTTAAAACATGTGGATCACGTATTTATTCATATGTATTTCATCATTAATCTTAAGATGTACACGGAAAGCATTTTGTGAGTAAGGTAAAGATTATGAAGACTACGTTGTGCCAACCATTCCCACACCTCTGCTGAGATGCAGGAACCCACACAATGCATTATTTTCTTCATTCCTTTTCAACCTTGTGTCAAGACTACCAGCAATACCACCACGCACGCTCACAAAAGAACTGTGGTGATGTTCAGATCACCATTCCCACTAACAGCAATTGCCTGAATGTTGTCTTTTTGCTTTCTTGTTTCAACGATCATCAATCAACAGCACATCATTAAAAGCATCCACCTACAATTGGCATATTGGACAGTGCAAGGTGCTTTGGTTCCCTCCTAATTGTAATGGAAAACCTGGCTTTGAAGGCTGGTTCGTCGAAACACGGGAAGGCCATTCGGGCAGCTGTCGGCTCAAACTGTGTTGCTGCAAGCACTCTAAGCAGGGGGAAAGAAAAGGGGTTTGGTCACACACCTTCGTATGCACAACATTCACCCCCCCCATGCATGGAAACAGTGGAATTTCACACTTACTTACAAAATAACTGCGGGTACTACCAAACCCCTTTGCGTGTCAGAAAGGATTACCTGAGTTCTCCTTCCCGGGTCCTGTAGGTGCTTTTATAGAAGCCATGGAAGGACTCGGAGAGATTCGCCAAGTACTGGATGCTGAGGGTGTATATGCACAACATTCACCCCCCCCATGCATGGAAACAGTGGAATTTCACACTTACTTACAAAATAACTGCGGGTACTACCAAACCCCTTTGCGTGTCAGAAAGGATTACCTGAGTTCTCCTTCCCGGGTCCTGTAGGTGCTTTTATAGAAGCCATGGAAGGACTCGGAGAGATTCGCCAAGTACTGGATGCTGAGGGTGTAGTTGTGCCCGGCCCGCAGCGGCTCGGCGGCGAGGAGTGCCACCTGCTCCGAGCGCTGCTGCTCCAGCACCAG